TTTGTATTTAAGATCATATTTAAAGATGTAACTTAGAATAATAATTTTAATTGTGAATTGAATTTGATTATAAAAGGAATCTTTGTTTTTTTCATTCTTAATCCAAATGTGAAAGATACTTCTAATATTTTTATAAGCAATTGGTTGCTTTAGGAGGAAAAAAGCAATACTGACTTAAAGTTAACTTCACAGCAAGGATAAAGGCTTGTTAGCGCCTTCTTGGCTAAGGGGGGTATCTGTTGAGAAGGTAATAATCAAAGTTGGGAGCAATGACGCCAGCTAGCTGGCATAAATGGTTTTCAGCTACTGTTGCAGTGAATGAGAACAATCAGGTGGAAAGTAAGTCTCCTCAGTCATTATCTCGAATGGATAGAGCTAGAAATCCCAGAGCCTACATATCTTCTGTCTTGAAGTTATTACCTCCGTGATTCAGCTATGAACAAAATAAGTGAATGTTCCTGAATATATTATGACATGAAGACAATACTTTTTTTTTGCCTTATTCCTGGAGTTTAAGCATACACATCAACAAGTATAAAAATGTTTAAACACATTGTATTGATAATAAAAGTTGAGTGCTGCATGTTTCATATGCTACTTCACTATGAAGGGACTGTGTGTTTCTTTGCTGAGGTTCAAGTCACTTTGTTTACTGTGACCAGGCTTCATAATAGTGAAAGTGTGAACTGAAAGATAAGAGTGTTACTCTCTGATTTTGATTACAACGTCCTTTGTCAAAATCCTGGATATTGCATGCAGACAGATTGTTGGCTGTTCCTGCTGTGGGAATGGTCTCCCATTGCAGTCTTCACCAAAAGTCTGTTGCAGCACTTTGTGCTTGAGATCAAACTGTTCTTTTCTGTAAAGAAATGCACTAGCAATAATTCCAGAAGGAAAATTTGAATTTTTTGAGACCTGGTCTCTTGTGTGGGATGAAGAAGTCCCACTCTTCCATAGTTCCCGGGGTGAGCATCTTCAGATCGTCCCTCACTGTGTGAGTTATTACTTTGAGAATGTGAATTCAGCTCCTGCACATTGGCTGTGGTTGCTGCTGTGGCATCTTTGAGGTTGGTAACACCGCGTGGGCACAGAGGAAGCAGCACCCAGCAGTAGACCTTGGCTTTGCTCACAGGGATGTTTAAAATGTGTCTGTGAGCTCATCTAAGAACTGTCATAATTATAATGGTAAATTTGTTGCTAACTGAAAACAGATCTTTGTTCACTGAGTAGAAATATCTTGGTGATTATTTTGAAATTTTTTGCATAATTAAAGCTTGCAGAATTCCTTCCCACCCCCCAATTCCTGTTTGCTCCTCCAGAAAGGCTTTTTAAACTTGATGTGTTTTATTAAAACCAAAACAGTTTCTGAGAACTGTTCAGGTGACCTTAATTAACAAGCAAAGAATGATATTTTCTGCTCAAATGAAGGCCAAACAGAGATGAGGACACAAGTGATTACAGTAAAAAACTTACCTTGCTATGGTAAATATTAAAAATAAATAAAAAATTTATACATAATTACTTTTGCTATGTAATATAAGTAATTTAAGGTAAGATTTATCTTACGGATGAAAAGGATATGAGCAAAATAGCTACGTCACTAGAAGATGATCCCACAATAGCATCCTATTTTGTGCCATTAGGAAAAAGTGAACCATAACGCAAAAAGAGCAGATAAATTCCCCCAACAAAGTCTAGAATTTAAACTAAATTTTGCAAGGGGTTGTGCAAAAGAGGACTACCAGTCACAGCTCAGTGAATAATGTCACCTAACTGTGACATGTTGCTTCTGTAGATCAGGAACTAGCATGTCCCTTGTGTGGTCTTCACCCTTGTAGTTGGTGGCCTCATTCTTTGGCTCTTCTGACTCCTGCTTCTTGCTTGTAGTTTGCAATTATCTCTGACTGGCTGTCTTTTCAAGCCTTTTCTTCTCTTAGCTTCTCCCTTCGACCCTGAATCCTCTTGAAGTGGACTAGGACAAAATCTGCCATCGGCAGAAACTTGCTTCAGTGCCACTATCAGTGAATTAAATATTTGTAAGGGTCCAGAGGAGAAAGCAGAAGGAAGAAGTATCTGGATTTTGTATGTTTGCTTATGAAGTATCATCAAAAGCTTTGCTGTTTCAGTTTGGGCCCTTTTTTTAAGTGGAGTTAATTTAATATCACTATTACTGTTTTTTTTCAGAAAGCACACACAAAAAGAAAAAAGAAATTAGATGGTGTGCACAGTACAGGCCCAAGATGATTTCTTTTTTAATTTTATTTTTTTAAATCAGGTGCTTCTCTCTTAAAATGATTTGCAATTAAAAATGGGACTGTTTTCCTTCTGGTACTTCAGTCATCTCAGCAAGGTATTACTTCAGCAACTTGGCTGAGACCATTTAAAACATATGTATTATTTAGTGTTTATTCTTATATTTTCAAAGAGTGCAGTTTTAAAAACGCTGTGTCCGCTATACCAAGATAACAACCTTTCAGTCAGAGAGCTGTGAAAGTGAGAAGAAAATTGGTCTGTTTGTATTTGTTGTCTTCTTTTTACTTGCCCAGATACTGTAGTTTTACTTATTTCTATTGGCCTGTCTTTGTGATATCCAAACATCTTCCTTATGTGGTTAACTAAGGGTTTTTTATGAGAGCCTATAAAGTATTTATATTTTTCTGTCTTATGGCCCCGCATAGCACCTGATACCACAGGATTTATCATTCTGTGCATTGATTAGTCAGGAGAAAATGGGTTTTTTTGTTCTTTAGTAGTAGAGACTGAGAATTTGACAGTGAGAGAAGATGGAACAATTATTTTATTAATTTTGTAGTCTTAAATGTAATATTAAAATATCCTTTCTGAATTAGTATAAAGCTGACACCTTACTGGCAAATTTTGCATCCCCACTCCTCCAAAAAATGTCGTTTGTAAAGTGCTGTATTAATCTAAAACTCAAGAAAAAAGTGAAAGAAAAATATAAATAATCAAACTGCTTTTTTAAGAGGAATGACTACTGAAAGCATAATCATAGTCTGGTAGTCTGTTCTCTTTACTCCCTGCTATAGAGGGACATTTTCGTCCAAGGCCAATAAAGGCTGTTCCCATGTAATAAAGAATATTATCTCAACATCATAGAGAAAAAAGAAGACTGTCCCTTTCTAAGGCCTCCTTAGACTGGTTTGCGATGGTGGAGGGGAGATTTGGAGGTGGGGCGTGAGCAAGTGGCTCGGTGGGGGCTTAGCTGCTGTGGCATCAACCTACCACAGATGTGAAATGCATGAAGTTGGCAGTTCATGTGAAAAAGACTAGACCACAATCTAGACATGCAATATTTGATGTGCTTTAGATAGCAGGGCAAAAGAACTAATGCTAATGCCACAATGTGTCCTAGTTTCATATGTTACTTACCAAGGAGACACCTGATTATATGGTGTATTGAGGCTGAAAAATGGTGTTTTATGGTATATTCAAGACTTTAGTTCACTTAAGAAATATGAATTTGGCAAAGTAGAACTCACCTAATAATATGAACAGGAATGAAAACTCTGCAGAAAAAAAAGAAATCACTTTAGCAAAAGTCTATGAACTTATTATCAGTAAAAAGTGTCTGAGAAAATTGAAAATAAAATTATAAAACCTTGGAAGAGAATTCACTGATGAAATGTTATATGCACATACTTGACATTAGCTATAGTATGGCCAGTATCTGTGCTGGGAACTGTGAATACTGGTATTAATACTGTGGCAGTACATCTTTGTGTGCCGGTAGAACAAGGAGCTGTGTGCATAGTGAAGCTGGTGATCGTGAGAATCATTTTTGGTGATTGTGAGGGAATGGGATATATTGGTGCTAGCACTTGTTTCATCAGAGAAAGCATACAAACTGTTGCTGTTCCTCATCAAAACTTTTTGCTTACCATAGCTCAGCCTTCTCATTTGAATTGGTAAGTCACCCACTCACACAGACATCTATGCTTCCAGTCCCATTAAGCATGTTTGGGACTAATATTTGCACTACCTAGTTTTAAGGTTGCGTATTACCCTGAAACCCCTTTAACATTTGCAATGGGGAGAACAAGCTTGAGAAGAGCAAGGTTTGAAAATGGTAAAACACTTCTCTACAGAAAAATGTGAACTGAAGGTTCAGTAGGAAGATGATGGATACAGTTGCCAGGTAGTCTTTCTCCATCTTCCCAAACTGTAATTGGTGCACTGTAGATGATAAAAAAGTAAGCAAATTAATGAAAAACCTCAATATGCAAATTATTTTGGGTCTGAGCATGAGCAGAAGGTCGCAGCAGTATAGATAAAGGGCTTTAAAAGGACACTTAATGAAACAAAATAGATTGCGGAGGAAATGTCATTCCCTACAGGGCAAACAGAAGTCTGTCACAAACAAGCAAATGTCTCAGAAATTTGTACTGCAAAGAAGACCTGGGATCTTGGAAGAAGATGCCAAATTTAATATTTTTCAATATTGCTATATTAGTATAAGCAATTATTATAAGTCTTAAAAGTAACTTTTTGGCCTCCTGACTGAACACAAATCAGTTTGCGCTGCTTCATGACTCTGAGGAACATAACATAGGATGCCAGGTTGTCAGCTGTGACACTGATTCTGTGATTCAGTTATCAGTGTTGTGACGTGTTGAATAGAGAAACCTTTTCTGCTAGAAACATTAAGTACTCTTGGACCCCAAAACTAAGCTGAAAACTCTTGTTGTCTTAATGTTTGCTCTGCTGCTTGT